GCCTTCCACTCTTTCTCTGCTCTCAGGAGCATTTGAGATTCATTTGATTTTGTTTGTTTCACTGACAAACAGAAAAAAGGACTAAAACGAGGATTGGACACTCATAACAACCTGCTCTTTTGTTGTTATGAAAGGGTGGTATTTACCTGGCTAAAATAATTTTATTTACTCATTTGGCAAAAGGTAGGAAGAATTTGGAGGCAGAACACAAAGGTAAATCTAGTTTTTGCATAGGTAACCAATAAGGGCTCACAGAAAATAATTCAGAGAATTTTATAAAATCAACACATTTAGAACATTATTTTTTAATCATCACTTACATCCTGAGAGTTCATGAAATATTCTGACAGTAAGTCACCAGACCCAGATAAAGTTTTTATTTAACTGCCTTTGCTTTAAAACTGTAAAGAGTAAAAATATTTTTCTTAAATGACTGATGATGATCACACAGCGTAATACCAAATCAGAGTGCCAAAACAGCAAAAGTATCAGCTATCATTGTGTAGTGGGGCTCCCAAGAAGTTACAATTGCATTTACAAGGGGATTTAAAAGCTTGGGATATGTTCTGTATGGAAATAAAACTTAGTGTCTCTGGGCAGGTGGTGGGATATATACATATATATTTTTACCACATCAATCACTAGAAGTTAAATCATCAATCTCTAGTAACTCGGTCTCTAGGGAATATGAAGCAGAAGGAGTGGTATATTTTTGGAGGCTAGAGGAATACAGAAAAGAATTTTGAAGTTCAGGGATGGACAGGATGCAACAAATAAGCTCATTAAATACTTCTCTACAGTTATTTTCCATCCTTTCGCCACCCTGAAGATGGATGCAGGAGGTTAGAATAACAAAACCATGCTATATATCAAACATCAGAGATGAAAAGACTTTCACCCACATCTTTTCCCTCCTCATCTGCCCCAAATGAGGTGCAGCAGGCTGGAAAAAAAAACAAATATCCAAACCATCAGGCAAACAACCTCAGCTTTCAAGACTTCTGTGGGCAAGAAAAATAATATTATTTCAAGTATGCAGACAGACCTTCTCAAACAGACATCCAGCATTGGGAAAGAGACCATACCTTGTACCATGAAGCCATTTCTTAAGTAGCTGATTAAAAGACGGCTGTATATCAGCTGGCCTACCATCTTAGGAGGCAAACTGAGAAATCTGAATGGGAAGTCAGAAAAACAGAAACTATTCTTGGACCATCACTGCCTTGCAAGTAAGCACACTTGGCCTTTGAACAGGCTAAGCTTTTTATCCCAGCTGCACTTCAATTCAAAGCTTTAATAGTGCTTTGGAGATGCAGCTATGGGCCACCCACCTTACAAAATGTGATCACACTGTAATGAGCATAGCTCACTGCCAGTTCCGGGGCAGAAGGTGACAGATGGGAACAACATCCTGTATATCGATAAGAGAACAATAGCATCTTCCCTTGAAACTACTTATTTAGTGAGATTAAGACTCAGAAGCATATAATTCCACAAGCTGGAAGACTGTTAGGACTTCTACATTAACATGGACACTATGTGGTGTGTCACATGCTAAGGATGAAAAGCCTCCTGTACAAAATGAGCTGCATCTTCAAAATTAGGGTTTCTATGTTCACCTACACAGGAGTAAAATCATCAAACTAAGGTCAGTGCTGTCATATGAGACTGCTCCAGACCACAGAGCACAGACATGACTGTCTAAAAGTTTAGCAGTGCCTGGAAGTACCCGGTGCACAAGATGGTATTTGGATTTCTAGAGGTAAGCTGTAACCACAAATGCGAAAATAATCTAGGGTCAAATATACAGTGAAATGAATATTCTGGAAAGGGAAGGGAAGAGGGAAAAGAAAACAAAAATGTTACGAGCTTATTGAAGACCAGCATGAGAGGACACCAAAGAAAACACACAAGTTATCTCAGAGACCCTCCAACAGTTTAAGCTTTAAAGTTGAGTATCTCAGAAAGGTCTGCCTTTCTCTCTGGTACTCTGAGATAAAATCTCTAACAATAGAAATAAAATGGAATCCCAAGTTTGTATTTTTGAGCTGTAATACCCTGAAGTTTGGCTCAGGATATTTAAAGGAGCAGGTGGAGTTAGCAACCAAATTTTCACGGTTTGGGGGTTTTTCAACCTGGGGCATGAAACCTGGCTGATGCTCTTGGTGGCTGTGTGACAGATTGCACCATCCTATGTGCCATGAAATCAACTAGTGAGCTGCAGTGCAATTTGCAGCATCTATCCCGCAGACATCCAAGATGGGAACAGGGAAGACTGCTGAACAATGGCGAGAGGTGTGCTGACAGAACTACCAAAGGAGGCGTGGGTACCATCTGCCTCTTCTTGTCTTAAGTTCATCCTAGTTACTATCAGTCCATCGGGATTATAAAACTTTATTACATCCACCCACAAAACCAAGGAATTAAAAAAAAAAAAAAAAAAATAGGGGAAAAATTATCTCTAATTCAAACACTGAAGATGGAACAAGAACAAGCCTGGTGCAAACATTTCAGTCAAATAAACGGGAAATCAACAGATGCAAAAAAAAATTATATTAAAGAGTTTAACTTAGGAGATTTAAACAACTTGCATAGTAGTTTTCAGAAGAGTATCTTTGTATGATGTCAGCAACAAAAACAGCTGAAAATTCACATTGTTCACTGTGAAAAGAAAACATTAATTATTTTTCCACCATCTTTCTTTCAGTTTAATCTTGCCCCAGTATGTTTTAACTTAAGCTGCTTTGGGCTGTAAACAGCACAGAAATATGCATTTCCCCTTAGCAGCCAGATAAGGGCTTTTTGATGTAGAGTCGTGTTAAGCTCATTACTTCTTTTAATTTCTTCTTAGTAATAAAGATTTTTTAATTGTTTGAATCCAAACAATTGATATAGCTGTTCAGAGGGTCAGGGAATGCAAATGAGGACTAAGAAATTCTTTCAATATAAGACCAGAACTCTATGCCATGGCAACAGCACTTTTTCATTACAGATTCCTCACGGTTGCTCTCTCCATATTGACAAGATCATTTCATAGGGTGAAGAGGTAAGGGAAAAGAGAGATCTTGTTGAAGAAAAGAATTGTTATGACGAGCAATTAACAACATATACCCCAGCATGTCACAGTAATTCTTCTCCTTTCATTCCATGAAATAGACTGATCATAAAAATGCTTCCCATCTGAGTGCCTCACAGTTAATGCAGTTTGCATCAGGCTGTATTTTCCCTCAGGCTGAAAAATACTGACATCAACGGGAACATCAGATGTGTTGAACCTGCCATCACCAGCCTGAAGATCTCCTGTCCTCACTATTTCTCCTACATTCCAGTGAACTGCCTGCCTGCACAGATGGGGCAAACTCAGTTTCACCAAGGAATCTGCTGTCACAGAGATTCATATGTTGTTATTTCCCCTGAATATTTGCATTTTTCACATGATGCTTTTTTGATGTTACCTCTTCCCTTTAATATCCTTGCCAAACCATTACAGGAAAAATAGCCTTGAAGCCTGTGTAAACACCACTCCACAGGCACTTCAGGTAAAAGATTTATAAATAGTCATAATACTGTAAAGGCTTGTTCAAATGACTATATTATCTGCATATGCAAATTAGCCTCTAATCATAACAAAGGTGATACTGACAGAGCTGTGACAAAACGTGTATTGGTACATATATGATACTAATTTTTTGTTGATGTTCTTAAAGGGACTTTTTCATATTTTCATTTCTGTTAGGATCTGTTGTGTTTTCCCCACCGAATATCACTGCATGGTTTTCTTCCAGTACTTGAGGGGAGCTTATAAACTTAAGGGAATCCATCTTTTTACATGGTCTGATGATAGTGACAGAGAAGTGGGAATGGATTTAAACTAAAATAGTGGAGATTTAGGTTAGAGGTTAGGAGGAAATTCTTTACTTACAGGGTGGTGAGGTGCTGAAGAGTTTGCCCAGAGAAGCTGTAGTTGCCACATCCCTGAAGGTGCTCAAGGCCAGGCTGGATGGCATCCTGGGCAGCCTGATCTGCTGGGTGGCAATCCTGCCCATAGCAGGAGGCTGGAATTAGAAGATCTTTAAGGTCCCTTCCAACAAAAGCCATTCTATGATTCTGATACTATGGTTAATGGAAAACTGAAAGAGTCTTTATACCCTCTCCTTATGCAAAATTCCACTAATGGCTGTAAAGAACTGTCAGTTTAGCCACAACTGACCCTTTAGAACTATCATTTGGCTAGAGAATGAAGGTATTTCTCTGTTAATCACATATACCTGAGTAAGAAACTGAGTGCTAAATCACGACTGAGTACTAGGTTCTTTAAAGGAGTTACTTGTGTCCAAACTGAATATTAGGTAGCAAAAATCTGGCTTTTTATTGGTGGCCCACAGTCTGGAGTTGTGTGTTGAACTTGGGTACATTTATGTCTAGTATTGCCAGGAGATTTTAACTGGAGCAAAAAGTTTACACAGACTCTTCTGCTTTACTGCCTAAGCCTTTGTGCATGCTGAAGTCCTCTGGCTGCACCACAGCTCTAGACAGCTTTCCTGCAAGGAAACAGAAATGACACATGCTTCTCTCCACCTCCAGCCTCCTGGGGTATCTTTCTTCTTTGAAATCATGGCTTCTTCATGGTAGTTTAAACAGATGAATGATGTTTGTACAAAAGTCAGAGTGTTGAAAGAAAATCATGTTGCTTTCTCTTAAAACATTTAAATGGCACAAACCTGGAGACATTATAGAAAGCAGTCATGAAAAAGAGAGCATAACCACTTTTTTTTGGTCTAGAAAATCAGCTCTATTTCAAAATAAAACTTTAGAATGACTTCATATTTTGTTAGACCTAGTATCTGAACATACTAAAAGAAAACAGGCTACTTTTCTGCTACTGTTGAGAACATGGTAAAAGGAATCACAAATATGACAACAAACAAAGATAAGCTACATTTGGTGTAACAGGATTGCCAAAAAGTAATTTTAAGAGAGTGTTTAAGAGTTTAAGAGTTTAAGAGTTTAAGAGAAGGCAGAAAATTAGGGTGGAACGAACAATTTGCTTTTTTGTTCTCTGTGTTTCAGTTCTAATAATGAACCTCAATGATGGGATGGTACTAAGGTCCTTAAGCAGCCAATGCAGTTTTTGAAGGCCATAAGTGAAAGCTAAACTAAGTTATCCCTTTCTATTGAAGACTATCACAGAAAAAAAAAGGCTCCATCTTCAAAGGAAGTTTGCTAAGGATTTGATTCTGGTAGGTGTGTCTTCAGGAGTGCACATAAAATGGTACCTCTTCGTGACGGAAAGACATCTGTGAGCAAAGGGCTTTTCAGTGTAAGCATGTGCTGGCCTGAGGTCACAACATATACACACACAAAGAGCCAGAGAGAGATATTGTCTACTATTTTCAAATATTTAGATAGAATTAAATTTGGTTGTAATGTTAGTTTCATCATTTTGGTACTACTCCTGTCCTGGCCTAATCCACCTTTGGTGACCTTTCTTGCATAATCTGATCATGGATCACAGTATCTAGCCCTTAATATGAGCTCCTTTGTCTCATAATCTGTTTTTTTTTTTTTTTTCTCGGTTGATTGGATTATTTTGTTGCTATTGTTAAGACTCCCACCAGTCTGACCTTTTCAGAAGATCAGTAAGAATACCAGTTCATGCTTGCAGAGTGATCCTGCCTGCATGTTCACCACCTTCATGCATGGTAAGTCCTCTCTTTTGTCTCTTGTGTGTGCCAGTATCTCCAGCTGCATACCAGTCCTGTGTAGGCCAGAGCATAGCATCAGAGGAAATCACAGAATTCCAGGCAATTAGTAGTTAGCAGAATCCCATCTTCTACTCTAATTCTGGGGAGAAGGAAGGAACGAATGAACAATATGCTGCTATAATTTTCCTACAGATTCCTACAAATTATGCATAGCGAGGAAAAGAATGTAAATACCTAAAATGTTTTTCTCTCTTCTCTGCACTTTCCAAACACAGTTCTACTTTTTCTAACCTACTGCTCATTTAAAAGCAGTTTACTAACATTGGAGGATTTACTGAGTTGTTCAGAAAGCATACACCTGCCAGAAAATGAATTCCTCTCTCTGTTTTGCAGCCTGTAGGTCTGAAAGTTGAAACTGACTTCAGGTAGAAGCAGAGAAGGGCACAATTTGAGATGAAGTAGTGGTTTTGCCACATTTTTTTAGGTCAATCATCCAGTACTTTAGCTCAATACCTAACTGAAACAATGAGTCTCATTTTTACTTGAGGTTATGTTTCCTCTATTACTTCTACACAGAACCATCTACAAAGTTTCTGGAACCAGAAGGCTTGTTGGCTATCTAATCTAACAGTACAATATATGCAAATGGCATGTTTAGCACATAAACTATATTCAGGGAGATTCATTGACTTATTAAGCACTTATTAAAATAAAACATAGCTGATATTTACACAACAAAAATGGGAAAAGATCTCAGCCTCTAGCAGAGAGCATTTCTAAAATCTGTTTTCTAAAAGTGTTACACCTATCCAAAACATGGAGCTTTTGACTGTTGACACTGAAGGTTGTATTTAATGCTTTAGAATAGGAATGGAAAAGCACAAGCATGCTCTCCTCTGTGAATTTATTCATCATGGAGAAAAGCCACTGAAAATGGGGTGTGTTTTTCCCCAGACTATTTTTCATTCAGAACAACAGCCCTGTCTGCACTGGAAAATTCCACAGTATGTGCAGACCTACAGGGGGACAACTGGGCATGTCACAGGAGACTGCAAGAAGGCACTTAGAGAAACAGCTACCTGTTTGAAGCAGATTGAAAAAGTGCAACTATACTAGCAGTAGATATCAGTCAGAAATTCAGAAGATCCTTCAGAAAAACAAAAGAAAAACAAACAAAAAAACCCAAACCAGAAAAGACATATTACAGTTTTTCTGATATTTCAAAAATCATGGATATTGCCAACAAGGAAAACCAAACACTAACAAAATAAAAAACTAAAACAATAATAATAATTAAACAATCAAACAGCAACAAAACCACACACGTTTTCCCACCTATCCTTTAGATCTTTTCAGACTTTCTAAGACAAGAACAAGTTTTAGAATGGAAAATTTATTTTCAAACAATCAATAATTTCAGTGAAATCTGATTGTTCCCAGCTCCTCGCTGTAATCACTGCCTGTGCTGAGCTCTCTGTGCATAAATATACACAAACACATACACACACTGTGTTAATAACAAAGGCCTCTGTGCTGTCCATCAGGTACTCATAAAATCTTGAGGGCTAGTTCAAGCTGTATTGATACGAAGTCATAAGTGACCAAAGAATAGATTTTATATGAAGTATATATTCATTCATTACTCTGATGCTTTCTTTCCATAAAACACATTTAGTGTAATATATATGCATAAACATAAACTGTTCATGCAAATAACATAACAGTTATTCAGAAAACTCATTAAACACTGCAAGGCATGCACAACTATATCTAAATCTTTGGTTTCTTCTTACAATCCAGATATTGGCACAGCTGTAAAAAAAATATCTCTATGAAAGCTAGAGGAGCATTCAGGGAACTAGATGGAAAGCTAACCAGAGCTTTCACTTTGTTTCTAGAATAGCCATGTTATAAAAATTACATTCTGACGAAAAGAGCCTTTCCAGATGTAGCTAGATAATACTGAACTCTGTTTCCACTAAGAGCTTTAGGAATAGTATTAGCTCACATGGAAATAATTTTTTAACAAGCTGGGAGTGGTTCCTAACAGTTCCTGAAGCTGTTCCCCCATGCTTATGTCCCCTCCTCTCTGGCTCATTTTAGGAGCTACACCCAATGTGCAAAATGACCTGTGCACCTAAAGAGGCACAAATGATTTTATTCATGGAAAGAAAGGAATATCAAAACTGACTGGCTAAAAACATTGCAAGAGCCAAAGTAGACCTTTGTACAGTGTTTACCTGATAAAAACCAGCACAATTAATCTATCTTAATCATATTGTGATGAAATACAACCAAATTATCTTTACAGGTTCCCGGTATATTATGACAAATACAGTTTCCCACATGATGATGTAAGAAGCTGAGAAGCTTGTTAAAAAAAAATTTCCCGAAGACTGTAAATTTGAAAGGTCCAGATCATGTAATGTGAGTTTGGAAAAATAGATTACTATGTAAAAGTCACTGATTATGAAAGAAAGGTCAGTTGTATTTAGACATAGGCCAAAGATTCAGTGTTTTAGTCCATGACTGAACCACCAGGATCATTTTTCAACTAACTGCCATTCACCTTGTCTTAGTAGAAACTCTGACTTGTTCATTAATTTTTTCTAACCTTCAACAGGTATATTTCTGCCAGGTTAGAGTCCAAAATGTCAAAGCAGTCAGAAAAATTTATTCTGGGAATAGTGTACCAAGAATGGAATACAAGAAAACTGAGGGAAGGAGAGATGGAGAGCATCAAATTCAAGTCTGGAGGACAGCAGGTGAATGACAATCCCAATGTTGCAAGGAAAAAAAAGAAAGATAAGCAAAGAAGACAATCAGTAAGGGACTTTATTTTTCTTCGTAACAGTAAGGATACAGAATTGTTTTCCAAGTAAAAGACTACTCAAGTAGGTAACACTGATTGTTCAGAAGAACAGAGCAAAGAAAAAATATAAGACAGAAAGAAAAAGGGACCACATTTTCTCTTCAGTTCAAGAACTTCTTAATCACTGCAAGGTATGGATTTTTGGCCTACCAATCAGACAATGACTCATTTTACTCATCTGTAAACTCTTAACGTTTACCACTGCAGTGCCACCCTTCTTTGCCATGAACTTCAGAGGTCTTGGCTAGCTGCTCCTGACTCCTGTCTTGGCAAAAGAAGATATCTTAATAACTCTAGCATCAGTTTCTGTGGATGCACTAATGAACACAAAGAGACCACCCTGACCCAAGAACTGACAGTCACAAGCAGGACTGGGCATGCCAAAAGAAGTTTTACCTGCACTCATTATATGAGGCCATATAACTGGGGCAACATCTTCCACTTACCTTAACTTCCTTCTACTCTCCATCACTATAATGGTGTCAGAGGTTCCACAATGATATTTTGTGCCAGACTTGTATGAACAACATCGTGGCCGTGATCTACCACAACATCTATACAATAAACAGCTCATCAACAAACATAAAGCACAAAGCAGACAAAGCCTACACAGAATCTGGTCTTGTCTTGTTTTATCTCTAAGAGCTGTAGATGCCATGAAGCAGGAACCAATTCATCTGCAGCACTAACTGATGTGCATTTCTCCAGCTTAGATTCACTTGAACACATTTATATATGCAAATAAAATTGTCACAAGTGAATGAAGTAATTCCTCCTACAGGCTGAAAGGAAGAAAATAGGTTACTTGTTATAACTATTGTTAAATATTTAGGAGTAAGGTCCCCATTTGCAGAATGAATGAATGGATAGAGACATTCAATCTAGTTATGTTATTAATAATTTACACTATCTTTCAAACTGAATTATATATGCCCAGTGCGTAGCCTGTACTCAGAATTTGAAATATCAAATTGGTTCATTGATTAACTTATTTTTCTGCTGGATACTGCACCTGCACTGCATTTCAAAACAAGACTTCATTACATTTGTATCTTTGTTGATTACCTTCCACCAGGAAACTGACCCCAGAAATTCCGTCACTGTGTATAACTCATAGTGTTAACACTTATTTTAAGTCTCAATCCTCAGAACACAAATACAGAAGTTGATGTGGTGATTTAATTGAATTTCACATGCCAGTTTGGACTCACATTCGTTTAAATCCAACTTAGATGTGGCTGACAGTTTGAATATCACTATGCTGTAAGCCAAGAATAAAAACCAGTCAACCACAGCACAGCTAACTATATGGATTTCCCATTTTGCTAATGCAATTCCCTCCAGTTGACATGTCTTGCAAGCAGTATCCTTGGAAGCAAACAACTGCAGAAAGAAAACAGCAGATTCAAAGACAGTTTGACTTTAAAACAGTAGAAACAGTTTATTTGCAAGTCTCTCTCTGAAACAGCTATATACTTTCCAGCTACTTATCGATCCAGCAGTCTGGGCACCTCCACAGCTGAAATAACAGGCTGTGACAACATCAGACAACACTGCTTTTGCCATCTACCTTCCCCAGAAGAGAGAAGATCCCTTCGTCCTTTCAGGAACAAGTGTGATCCACTTGTACTTTTGGTACTTTGGTCAAGTGGCCACCAATGTTTGTCCTTGGGAGAATCCCCCCTCTCCCACAAATGCCCCTGTGAAGCAGAGGGATGCTTCTGAAGCACTCTTGCACATGGAACCACATGCCAAGCCATGAGGTTTGGTCAGTCCTCAACTCTGGGCAGCACCGTGTGCCCACCTCCATGGTCTAGCCAGGTTACAGCCCCCCAGCTGCTAACCGACCCACTAACACATTGACAGCACACTTGTGTCACTGCTGCTGGCTGCACTGAGAAGGGCCCTGGGGAAAGAAGTGGCCTTACTAGATCTGACACCAGAGCAGCAGCTATAGTCTGGGGAGAGAAAAGCTGTCAGGAACAAAACATGCACTCATGACTGATTTTGCTGTGAGAGTCTAAAAACATACTTTGCTCCAAAACAAATGCAAAACATTGCACCCTGGTGCCCTGAAACAGTACAAGCCGATGAGAATGCATGCAGTGGTTGTTACGTGCACTGCAGTACTCCATAACCCAGGAAAGTCTCACTGATTTGCTTCTCTTTATCAGGATGGTCTAACATAACTTAAACAGCCTGCTGAAGAAAATAATAAATATTCTTGCCATACATCAGGGAATTAACTGCCCCTCTACATCTACATGTATGGGAATCACCTCCCTTGTCAATCTCTCTTCTTTCTCCTGTATGCCCGACCTTTATGTTCAAAAACTTACTTTTTATTATTTACTTTAGTGTATGAAACAGCTGCTTCTTAGTAAGACAAACTTGGCAAGTTTAAGGCATTAAAGCCTGACTGAGTTTTCCAAGGTATGATTTATAGTTCCCTTTTATTTGTACATTATGTAGAGAAGCCAAGAGTGAATAATCCTTTTAGGTATCAGGAATCCAAAAGTCTGGTATCCTAGCAATAGCCAGTGTAAGGCAACTGGCCTAAACATACTGTTGTTAGATTTTGGCAATACTGTGCCTTTCTGAGGGTTGATTCAAACCTGGAGAGATTATAGCATATTCTTGCTTCATATACTTGGCCCTTATAATACTGCAGAATAGACAATCCTTAAAGATTAGAATATGACACCAATATAAACAGAAGCCATAATTATTTTTAAAATTAAATCTAAAAATAGCAACTCCCACCTATACTTGATTTTAGAAGTGGGGGAAACTCTCATTTGGAGTAATTTTTTATAGTCATAGCTAAGTATGACTGTAAATCTTAGCAGTATAGCTAAGATTTCTTCAGCTGGTTAGATTTCCTTCAAAAGCAAGACTAAAACAAAACAAAACCCCACAACACTCGTTGGACTTTATAAAAGCAGTACCTTTGCAAGTGTTCATTCTTGTTGCCATACAGCTAGCTAGCTACTAGCCAACCTTGCTGCCACTCATCTTGCTTTTTTTTTTTATAAATATGTCCTTGCTTTGCTCTTTTTTTTGTGCTGGCCAGAAACAACAAAAATGACAGATGACTTTCGCTAAAGAGGCCAAATACATATTATATTCTATTTCATATTCACTCATTCATTTCAGAAAAAGGCTTATTTTAAACCAAACTAAGAAAAACAAGTCAGCACTACAAAAATATTTATCAAAGAACCAGCATCTGAAGTTGGAAGAAGTGCTAGTGACTGGATTTGTTATCTGGTTATAAATTTAATTTAAAAAGCAATGTAATTAGCTCAGAAGGGCTGACTGAGTCAGCCTCACCAGTGCCAGAGGCTCACTGTTGCTGCTCTTGCATGACCCGCCTTGTACACAATACAGAGAGAAGTGCAGTTCACAGTGGAAACAAATACATTAGAGGATGCATTGGGCTGAACCCAATTCTGCAAATACCTGAGCATGTACAGCAAAGAGAATGTTTCTTCATTTGTGGCATCAAGGGCATCCACTGATCTGTTGAATGTGCCATGATGCGTGGCACGTTACTCAAGGGAATCTCCTTTAATCTGTCTGAAAATCTGGTTGGAACATAAGAACAAAGTTATTCTCTGCAGACCTCCAGTCACTTCAGCAGCAAATCATTTTTTATAACTCAGGCTGCTGGGACTAACTTTAAAGCCTCATTTTGTTGGAAGTTTGAAAGGTACACCTTGTATATAGTTCTCATCTTTTCACTCAGATCTATGCAGAGTTTTTGAAAAAGTGACACAGTTTTCAGCTGGGATGGAAGGAAGTTTTATTCTGCTGGAAAAAAAAGAAAATACCTTCATGTTGATCTTTTGTAAGGAACATTTTCAAACGTAAGCCTTTATTGCCAACAATAAGGAGTGGGATGACACCTGGAAGTCAGACATTTTGATGTCAATTCAGAGCAATGAAAGAGGAGCAAAAAAGTTGCCACAGATGGTGGGAAGAGATTAATGGGAAGAAAACTATAAGTTATGTGCATCTCTATGGATGTCTGCAAAAATATCATGATCATGGTTGAAAACAAATATTATTCACCTTTTAGACAGTAGGGCATTTGTTCTGTCTCTGCAGCAATAAGTCAAAGATCTGGAAGGACAGAACTGCACCAACCAGGGCAGATCCACAAATGTGAGATGTAAACACTAACCCCTGAATTGTTTTTCTGATTTCCAAATTACCCATTCAGTGCTTGACAGTATTGAATGAGCAAGAGTACCCTTTTAAATCAAGCATCTTGTAAGGCAGCAAATCTTTTTTATCTTTTTAAAAATCACTTTCTCTGCAATGAAATTCTTATTCAGTAAAATGAATTTCCCTTAGGAACTCAGACTTCATGGATGAGATAAAAGCAGTGGGATGAGGAGAAAATATATAATCTAGTCACTAGGGGAATTTGCTTCTAGGTCTAGATTTTCACTGTTCGTGAATAGGGTTTTACACCCCTTTCTCTGCCAAATATTTAGCAGGGAAGCTGGCACAACTACAGTAGACACAGCCTCTCCATCTGAACCCGCAAGAAGCACCTGGTGATAAAGCATATGAAAAAAATCAGTGTGCCAGACATATGTGGCAAATGAAAGACTACCTCTGTTCCTTTTTGCTAATAAGGGGGAAGATGGATAGAATATGAAAAAAAAAAAAAAAAAGAAGGAAAAAAGACAAATAGTTAATTAAAAAAGATAACTAGTAAAGACCGGGATCTGGAAATAACAGTTTGTATCAATCTACTTAACTGGTGAATAACAAGTTCCAGAGGGAGGAATTAAAGTAGTTGCAAGAGCCTTCAAGCCTTAGAGGAGAATTAAAAAGCATAATGTCTCATGTCGGGAAGAATGAATCTTTCATTTGGTTTAGACAAAATAAAATTTACAGTTTTGTTTGGCAGCAGTAAGTATTTTTTTAAGGACTAAAATGGACATTTAGGTTTCACATTTGCAGTTTTCATAAAAGCAAACTTTATGTTTCAGCTGATGGGAATACTTTGAGAAATAATACTGCCCTTCGTCCTACAGGTATATGAACACACATCTGCAAAATCAGCAGCTTCCTATTTTTCCCAGACTTCTGAAACCACAGCCATTGAAGCTGCTCCACAAAACCACACAATTAAGAAACTTAGGAAAACAAACAACAACAACAAAAAACCACTCAAACCCCTCAAAACAAACAATCAGAAAAGACCTAAATAACCCCAAAGAAATCCACAGTCACAAAATGCAACCTTTCCCACTTCATATGGTGTCCCAAATGTACAGACTCTCACAAACTCACTTGGTCTAAAAGCAAATAAATAATATATCAACACTAGATCTCCTCAGACTGTGACAGAAGTCAATAGAGCTAGCAAACAA